CTTCTTTGAAACATCCTCGCTCTTCAAACGCACATCCATACACACATGCATACATACCTACATTTAAACACATTTGCATACATAGAAAAACAATCTTCCAGACATACATACTTACATTCACACACATACACACATATTATCATACACACATACAAACATACATACAAACTAAATACATACATACGCGCACAAGCATACATACATACATACGTACCTACACACAGGCACACATGATCAATGCATGCATACATGCATGCACGCGTACATACACACACATATATCGTGAAACTCACCGCGTGCTCGAAACTTGAGAGAGACCGCGGGAAGTCGAGAGAAGCCGCGGAACGAGGCCTCTACTACTACTACCACTACTACCACAACCACTACTACTACTACTACTACCACTACTACTACTACTACTACTACTACTACTGCTACTACTACTACTACTACTACTACTACTAATACTACTACTAGTACTACAGGAGCGTTTCCCAACTAGTATGTGTGTGTGGGTGATGCTGTGTGCGCATGTCTGCGGCGCAGGTTAAGTGGTGTGACTGTGTGTGTGCGTTTGAGTGTGCGCCCATAATTTCTGCGTCTGGAGAATAACCCCGAGCGACCCGGATCGGCGGCACTGGCCGAAGGCCACTACAATACTTATTGTTATTCCCCCCATCACCAGTGCATGCAATTTTTCCTCAATCAAAGAGTGCCCCTCGACACTCGCACCCAGGGATTTGACAAGGAAAATCTTGGTGCTCAAACTGTGCCCCTGGCCCCCCGGGCTGCAACAACAACAGCTCCCGCCTGAGACTTCCTTCAGATTTGCTCAGGACCCCCGCTCCCCCCTGAGAGTTCCTCACAATTTACTCAGGGTCGGTGCTCCCGCCTGTGACTTCTTTGCAATTTACTCAGGACCCCCGCTCCCGTCTGAGACTTCCTCACAATTTACTCAGGAACGGCGCTCCCGCTTGAGACTTCCTCGCAATGGAATCAACAGTTCTTAATCATTTAATCAAGACCCCCGCTTCCGCCATAGAACCCCTCACATTTTATTCAAGAATGGCGCTCTCCCCGGTGAATTCCATGCAATTTGTGCAGAGATCGCGCTTTCGACGCTCAGGAAACACGCTGCGCCAAGGACGCCGTCACAATTTACTTAGGAATCGCGCTCTCGCCATACTCAGGCATCCCGCTTGAATGTCCCACCCGCCCGACCCGCCCGTCAGGGGATCTCCCGCCCGTCGTGGGCTCCCGCCCGAGACTTCCTTCAGGAACGGCGCTTTCGCCTAGGACTTCCTCGAACGTTCACGCTCTTACCTTCCTGCTCCTCCTCCCTCTCCCTCCTCCCTCCTCCCTCCTCTCCTCCCTTCTCTCTCTCTCCCTCCTCTCTTCCCTCATCCTTATGCCCCTCTGCCCTATCCCCTCTCGCTCCTCTCCCTCCTCCCTTCTCCCTCCTCTCCCCTGCCTCCTCCCTCACTCTTTCTTTCTTTATTTCTTTATCTCTCTTTCTCTCTGTTTCTCTACCTCTCTTATCTGTCTTTCTCTCTCTCTCTTTCTCTCTCTCTCTTTCTCTCCGCCTCTAATCAACCGCCCCCCTCTTCGCTCCTTCTCTCCTGGCGTTTTCCCTCTTCCTTCGTCCCTCCCCCTCCCTTCCTCCCACTCTCCCTCGTTCTTCCACTCCTCTTTTTGCAGGGTCCACACCAATTCCAATGGAGGGCACATGTACGCCCACGAAGGATTGTCCGCCCGTTCAGGTTTGCCCGCCTGTCTGAGCCAGCCGCCCCCCGCAAAAGGAAATAATCCCCCCAAAGGGGGTGTGATCGAAGACAAAAAAGGGCAAGTATCGAGGGTATGGGGAACTCGTTTTGAATGGCACACGGGCAGGTCAGAGCGAACAATCTTATACTGATTGTTGTTGTTGTTGTTGTTGTTGTTGTTGTTGCTGTTGTTGTTGTCGCCATCTTTGTTCCGTTTATGTGCATTTTCGGCCTCTAGGCCGTCCAGTACGCCCCAAGACACGCCCTGGAGGTACCCAAGACAGCGCTCGAGATCCCCAGGAGGGGTGCCCGAGGCCCCCGAGCGGCCCCAAACGAGGAACCCAAAAGCCCCCGAGCGGCCCCAAACGAGGAACCCAGAACGGGGGGTCCGCCAGCGGAGGCGAGGGCCCCAAGAAGAGAGCCCCGAAGGCCCTCCGAGTTGGCGCCAGGGCCCCCCGAAGGTGGCCCCCAAGAAACCTTCGAGAAGATCCCAGATGGAAAGGTCCGTGAGACTGCCTTTCAAGTTGACTCCTGGGTCTACTCAGGCTCATCCCGAGCTTCGGTACGACGGGTGCCCCGTTTCAATGTACGCTCCTGCAGGCCCCCCGAAGGTGGGCCCCGAGAAACCTTCAAGAAGATCCCAGATGGAAAGGTCCGTGAGACTGCCTTTCTGGTTGACTCCTGGGCCTACTCAGGCTCATCCCGAGCTTCGGTACGACGGCTGCCCCGTTTCAATGTGCGCTCCTGCAGGCGCCCCGAGTGTGGCCCCGAGAAACCTTCAAGAAGATCCCAGATGGAAAGGGCCGTGAGACTGCCTTTCTGGTTGACTCCTGGGTCTACTCAGGCTGATCCCGAGATTCGGTATGGCGGCTGCCCCTTTGCAACGTACGCTCCTGCGCTTCCCTGATGACTGCGATTCGGTCAGGGATGTAGCTTCGGGGTGGGCTGGTGGCGATCGGCGAAGCATCAACGATTTGTCGTGGCCAAACATTGCGCCATGGGCGCCGCCAGTGTTACGTGGCCGTTCATTGCGCCCTTTGGCTTCGCCACGGATTGTGGCCATTGGTTGCGCCATGGGTACCGCTGATTTTTCGTTGCCATGGGTTATGCCGATTGAGCATACATTCACTGTGTGGGATCACCTTTGGATTCGTTCGGCTGGCTCTCGGAGCCACTCCGCAAATGGCTCAGATGGCTCTCGGAGCCACTCCGCCAAAGGCCTCCAGCACTCCCAAATGGCTCAAATTGCACGAGGCATTCCGCAGGAGAGCCTATAATCGAATCGACAAATCGGATCGGAAATCGACATGAATCGGATCGACAAAAATCGGCAGCCGAGCCGGGAACAGTCGAATCGGCAGACATCCGCAACCTAATAGGTCTCTATTGCGAAACCGGATCCCAAATCGGAATCCGAAGCCGAATCGAATCGGAATCGGAATCCGTCGAAATCGAATCGAATCGGATCGGAGGAATCGAAATGAGCCCTGATTCCGCCGATGACGGCCCGAGAAGGTGCCCGCGCGGCCCCAGAGGGCCAGCAAGTGGCCCGACAGGGGCTCCCGACGGCGCCAAGAGGGGCAAAGCACGTCCCCGAAGGGGACACTCCTCCTTCTCCTCCTCCTTCTCCTCCTCCGCCTCCTCGTCCGCCGCCTCCTCCTCCTCCTCCTCCTTCACCTCCTCCTCTTCTTCCTCCTCCTCCTCCTCCTCGTCCTCGTCCTCGTCTTCGTCCTCGTCCTCGTCTTCCTCCTCCTCCTCCTCCTCCTCCTCTTCCTCCTCTTGGGCTGAGGGCAGAGAATCGGTGAGCATCGGCTTGAGGCGTGAGGCCCAGGGCAGTGGGGCCCAAGGCAGTGACCAATGGAACTCAGGTCGGGCATGTCCTCCTACGGGCGGATTCTGGAAGGAAAATGAAAGCAGTCAACAACTGTTCAAAACATAATCAACATTGGCCTGGCGAAGGGCCCAACCATGTGCAATTGGTGGTACCTCGTTGTGGGCACCGCTTTCGGCGGAGCTCCCTATGAGGCCACACGACACGTGTGAGGGGTGTGCCCACATGGCGGTGCCATGACGGTGCCATGGCGGTGCCACGGAGGAGGGGTGGTGCCATGGCGGTACCATGTGAATTTTCCCACTGGTGCCTCAGGTGGAGCTCCTTGTGGGACCACGCAACGTGTGAGGATGTGCCAAAATGGGGCGGCGGTGCCATGCGAAGTTTCCCACGGTGGCTTTCGGTGGAGCCCCCTATGAGGCCACAGAGCGTGTGAGGGGTGTGCCGAAATGAGGCGGTGGTGCCATGCGAACTTTCCCACTGGGGCTTTCGGTGGAGCTCCATATGGGGCGACGAACCGTGTGAGGGGTGTGCCGAAATGGGGCGGCGATGCCATGCGAACTTTCCCACTGACGAAACATGTGGTGGGTGTGCCGGAATGGGGCGGCGGTGCCATGCGAACTTTCCCACGGTGGCTTTCGGTGGAGCCCCCTATGAGGCCACAGAGCGTGTGAGGGGTGTGCCGAAATGAGGCGGCGGTGCCATGCGAACTTTCCCACTGGGGCTTTCGGTGGCGCTCTCTATGGGGCCACGGAGCGTGCGAGGGGTGTAGGCGGTGCCATGTGAACTTTCCCCCAGGGGCCTCAGGTGGAGCTCCCTATGGGGCCACGAGGCGTGTGAGGGGGGTACCGAAATGGGGCGGCGGTGCCATGCGAACTTTCCAACTGGGGCCTTAGGTGGAGCTCCCTATGGGGCCACGAAGCGTGTGAGGGGTGTACCGAAATGGGGCGGCGGTGCCATGTGAACTTTCCCCCAGGGGCCTCAGGTGGAGTTCCCTATGGGGCCACGAAACGTTTGAGGGGTGTGCCGAAATGGGGCGTCGATGCCATGTGAGCTTCCCCACTGGGGCCTTCGGTGGAGCGCCCCATGTGACCACAAAGCGTCTGAGGGGTATGCCGAAATGGGATGGGCATGCGGAGAGCAAAGGCAGGGAGGGAGGAGGAGACGGAGGAGAAGGGGAGGGGGAAGGAGGGAAGGAACGCGGGGCACTGTCTCTTCAAAACGAGGACACAAAACCACATGATGGTTGGGAAATAATAAAGCAATCGTCCCCAGACGGTTCTATTTTCAAAAGTAATGTAACAACGGTACCCATACTATTTTCTGAATATTTTTGAAATATTCATCCGGTCGAGGGACGCGCCCGACTTCAAAGTGGAACCGACGGCGCGCGTCTTCGCCTCGCCTCATCGCGCCGCCACCGGGATGGTCTTCAGAGACTGCCAGTAGAGGTTCTCTCCGGAGACGGCGTACCGCCTCTGGGCGATCGACCACCTCTCCTCGGGTAGGCAATGCATGGGCACGCTTCTGGAAGACTGCGGCGGGAAGTCGCTCTCCAGAGTGCCAGCTGGAACATCGGAGAGAACCTCTTTCACGGGCGCGGTGCGGCGCAAGACCCCCACCCTCTCTTCGAGGGCGAGCGAGGGGGGGAAGTGAGACGGAGAAGGCTTCCTCAGAAGGCTCGGAAGTCCCCCGGCCTTCTGACAAATTTTCGAAGCCTTCCCCGAAGACACAGAAAACTTCTCAGAAGACGCGAGGGCTTCCGAGGAGTCCTGCCGCCGTCTGAGAAGGCCTTCTCCTTCTCACTTCCCCTCTCGCTCGCCGCCGACAGAAGCCGCACCCCCACCTCAACTGGAACACGCCCCTCAGGTGAGAACCCCGCCCCTTCCCCCGAACCCCCTCTGCCCTCGAACCCCGGGGGGTTACACGCCCACCCCCTCCGCGCCGGCAGACGACGACGAACACGACGGCGACGACGACGACGACGACGACGGACGACGACGAAGACGACCGACGACGACGACGACGAACACGACGCACGACGACGACGGACGACTACGACTTCGACCAACATGCCACACGACGCACGACGACGACACACGACGACGACGACGACGCATATGACGACACCGAAGACGCCAGGTGGGACCCTAACGGGCGGGTCGGGCGGGCGGGACCCCAACGGGCGGGTCGGGCGGACGGGACCCCAACGGGCGGGTCGGGCGGGGCGGGACACTTAGAATCAAACTCGCTCGTGGATCACGGTATGTCGTCGCCGTCGCCGTCGTCGTCGCCGCCGCCGCCGCCGTCGTCGTCGTCGTCGTCGTCGTCGTCGTCGTTGACGTCGTTGTTATCATCGTCAGCATCGTCGTCGTCTTCGCCATCATCGTCAGCGGCGTTGTCGTCGTCGTCCGTGTCGTCGTGGTGGTCAGCGTTGTCGTCGTCGTCGTCGCCGTCGTCGTCGTCGTCGTCGTCGTAAGTCGTAAGTCGAGTTCGTCGTTTTCGCTGTCGCCGTCGCCGTCGTGTTCGTCGTCGTCCTTTTCGTGTTCGTCGTCGTGGACGTCGTCGTCGTCGCCGCCGCCACCGCCGCCGTCGTCGTCGTCGTCGTCGTTGTCGTCGTCCTTGTCGCCGCCGTCGTCGTCGTCGTCTTCGTCGTCGTCTTGTGTCGTCGTCGTCGTCTTCCTCGTCGTCGTCGTCTTCGTCGTCGTCGTCGTCGTCGTTGGCTGGCGCGCAGAGGGGGGATGTTCTGTCCCCTTGCTCCCGACCCTCGGAACGGGCTGAGGGCGGGCCTTCGATCCCCACCTCCCAACGACTTTGGAGGAGTGGGGTGGTAGCGAGCTTAGCTGCCCCGATACGCAAGACGCAACATGTAGCATATTGATACGGGACTCATCACGTAGACTGAAGACGCAGGTCTGACGGGATGCGTTCGCCCAAGCGTGGGCCAATACGTTGAATCAACACGCATCGTGGTGACACGGACGTTTTCAGCACGGCACGGGCTGCGTCCCCAGAACGGGCGTCTCGAGGCAGATGAGGTCGCGAGTGCCGGGATGATTTTGAGGGGGGGGGATGGGATGGTTGGTTCTGACCACCCCCCCTCCCTCAGGCGCCCTCGGAAGATGCTCCCTCGAACATCGGAAGCTCGAAAGGTGGCCCCAGCGGGCCATGCCCCCCTCCGATCGGCGGTGGACAAACCTCCCTTTAGTAAACCTCCCTTTAGTGAAAGCGGCCTGGGACTGAAACCGACGGACCTGGACCCGCAAAAATGACGGCCGCGACGCCCTCTCGCGAACCGAAAACGGCCAATTCGCTAATCGACGTGTCAGGGTAGGAGGTCTGTCCACCCCCGACTCAAGCGCCCTCGGAAGATGCTCCCTCGAGCATCGGGAGCTCGAAAAGTGGCCCCAGCGGGCCGTGACCCCCCTCCGAGGACCTGGCGCGCGGGCCTCCTGCACGAGCTCCGAGCTGCGGCCCCGGAGGCCCGCCCCGTCCGAGGTGGTGCTCCGCGCGTGCCCCTCGGCGGCGGAGCCCCGCCCCCCGAGGAAGACGGGGCCTTCGGGCGAGGCGGGCCGGCGCTCCCAGATTGAAGGAGCCCCAGGACACACAAATAAATACATACAAGTAACAGGATTCCCCATATTTTCCCGTATTTCCTGGGTTCCTGTCTTCCCTCCCACTGCCCATATTTTCCCATATTTTCTTGGAAATCGACGATTAATTGTGTCTGTGTGTTTCTTGCCCTCCTGACAGAGGGACGTGCCGCGTCCATCGTTGGAGGTGGCAGCGTCTTGCGCAGATGGCGGCGTCCTGTGCAGACACAGACTGCTGCATCCTCCCCACGGACAGCGACACCTGTGCGGTGTCCTCGAAACTCTCGGGGTGGGCTTGCGGCGCACGACGGCACGATCCGGTGCGGCGGGGGGCAGAGGTGCCGTGCCCCTGTGGCATGATTGGGGTCTGTGCGTGCTGCGCCTGCATGTGCAGTTGCTGACATAAGCGCTCCGCGCGCATGGCCTCTTCTGCAGGGCAAGCACGCGCACATCATTCACTCCTTCAGCCCACCCGCTCTGCCTGCGCCGAGCGCTGAGCGGAGCGCACGCTCGTGAAAAACGCCTGCGCGCAAGCTTCGGCCTGGGTGCGAAGTCTAGCGAGAGCCCGAGCCAGAGCCGAAGCCCGATCCCGATTCCAATCCAGAGTCCGAGCCCTAAGCCCGAGCCCGAATTCCCCGCCCGAGTCCGAATCCGAGTTCGAGTCCGTAGCCGAACACAAGTGCCGAGAACCTAGCCCAATCCCGATCTCGATCGTGGCGTAGCTGGGGCGTCTGGTCCTTGAAGGAAGCGATGGCGTTCTCGGACAACCCCTGGCTGGCGATGGGGTCCACCGGCGTACTGGCGGCCGCACCGCGATGCCGTCTTTTTGGTGCGAGGGAGGGGGCAACTGCCCGGATGAGAAGTAGTAACGCACATGCGCGCACTCATGCACACATCGAATGCGTGCGTACGCGCCCACGCACTCGTGTGTACAGCAGAAGCCCACGTTAAGAAGCCTCGCTCACAAGAAACTCAGGTGCACACGAATCGTCGTCGATTCTCGAACTTCTAAACATGCCCCAGGGCCCTCTTGTGGGCCCCCAGGGACCATCGAGGGATCAGAAACTTCTGTGGGGCACCTGCCAGCAAGCGGGCTTTTTATTGATGTGCCTACTGTAATTGTATGCAAGCATGTGAATACAACCTGCATGGCGTGCACGCGTATGTCCACTGCAGCATCCGTCACCGTGCCGCGTGCTTCAGCGGTGCGCAGCATGATCAGAGTTACTGCGTCATGTCCTGGGGCTCTCGTGGGCTCTCGAGGCCTTTCGCGTGGCTCTTCAAGCCTCAGGGCATGGTTGAGGGGATTCAGCCCTCCGATCCCCACGCTGCTCACATGGGGCCCGGCTTTCTGGAGTCCCAGAACGGTGCGGCGACGGACCATGCGGTGACCTCGACATCCCCCAAGACCTCACCGCACGGTCCGTCACCGCACGGTTTTTGGGACCTCGGACGCCCCTGTCGCCCGAGACGTCCTCGGAGAGGGACTCGAGCCCCAAAACCGTGCGGTGACTCCGCATCCCCACCGGCTCACCGCACGGTGTGGTCACCACACCGTTTGGGGGCCCGGCTTCGGGCCCTGCCGGCGGTCCCTCGGGCCGCCCAGGTGGCCAGCCCGGGGGGCCCGGCCCGAGGCGGCCAGCTCGGGGGGAGGCTGCTGCGCTCACGCTGTGTGGCTTCCAGAGCGCGGCCTGTGCGCCGGCAGCCGCCCCGCGTGCCCAGGCTCGGGAGCCCTGAGCCTCCCACAATGGTTAGGTCGGGCACGCCCTCCTACATGGAGGAAAGAGAAGTATGCACATACACCGATTCTGGCCAGGCCCATCCTGAGCCCAGGATCGGTGCATACGCCCGCTACCTTGGCCAGGAAGGTATATGCACCGATCCTGGGTCAAGGACGGGCCATGCCAGGATCGGTGCATGTGTACAGTTCTCTTCGCCCTGCTACAGGCAGAATTTGGAAGAATGATGAGCAGTAGCGAAGAAATACCCCCCCAAAGAGGTCAAAGATGGTCCAGAAGTCGCCCCGAGAGTATCTTGTCGACTGTTTTTCCTCCTGTAGAGGGACGTGCCCGACTTAACACCATTGGCCTCCCTTGGGGGGACGACTCCTACTTCCGCTGGCGGCGCCGCCCTCGCTCTGCTCTCGCTGGCCGTCCGCCGAGGAAGAGGGGTCAGCTCCTCGACCCCTCGAGTGCGGGGCCCTTCCTGGAATGCACCCTAAGATAAACCCCCCCCATGGCAGGAGAGCCCAGCCTCGAATCGGGAAGCCGCACCGGCCGTCGACACGCATCGGAGGGGCGGACATCGGCGGGCTGGCACGCCTCCGTGGAGACGTCGGAAATCCGGATCGGAATCCGACGTCGACCATCGAAGCGGCATCGGAAGCCGCCGGGAGCGAGCCGAGGCGACCCGGAGGCACCGAGGCGAGCCCTGCCGCCCTGCGGCCGACCCCCCCCCCCACGAGCCCACAAGAGCGCCCTGCAGAGGGGCCCCGGGCCGGGCGCCACAGAGCGGGACGGGGCCGCGGGCGCCCCCGGTCGGGAGCCCGCAGCTCTCCCCCGCTCCTTCCAAGGGACGGCCCCGATGCCCCCCCGACAGGCACCCACGAGGCCTCGCAGGGGTCCCCAAAGGGGTCCCCAAGAGGGTCCCCAAGGGGGTTCCAGAGAGGGCCCCCGAGAGGGCTCCCCAGAGGTCCCCGTTAGGGTCCCCAAGAGAGTCCCCGAGGCCTCGCCAGGATCCACGGAGGGCTCCGGTAAGAGCGCGGCCCATGGGTGAGAGGGAGGAGCAACTCCGTTGCATCCCCTCGGATCCAAGCGAGTCTTCCGCCCCCCCCCCCCTCCTTTCTCCTCCTTTCTCCTCTCCTCTCTTCTCCTCTCCTCTCCTCTCCTCTCCTCTCCTCTCCTCTCCTCTCCTCTCCTCTCCTCTTCTCCATCCTCCTCTCTCCACTCTCTCCTCCTCTCTCCTCCGCGCCTCCTCTCGCCCCAGCGCTGGCGACGTGTTTGGGTCCGAGTCGTTTGGGCCCGAGTCGTTCCCCGTCGTTGCCGCCCTCCTCCGCCGTCCCCTAATCGCCATGCTCCTCCTGGCCCTCGTGCTCCTGCTCATGCTGCTCCTCCTTTCTCATCCTCCTCTTTCTCCTCCTGTTCATGCGCCGCCTTCTCCTCCTCCTCCTCCACCGATATACAAGGTCCCTGTCTTTTTCTGCGCGTCACACGATCGGGGTCACTCTGTTCTGGGGATGAAGGTCCTCTGTGACACCTCAGTCGGTGGATCGACAGCAAGTCAGCGCAATGGGAGGCGATGTGTAGGAGCGCTTGGATGTCAGGTCTGGCGCGGACGCGGCTGCGTAGCTTGCCTCTCTCCTCTCGCCGTTCGGGACGATTCGGGCACCAACAGAACGCTCTCGGCGAGGCGCAGCTGCTGGAAAGCATCCCGAGGCAGGGGAAGCTCCAATAACCGACGAAAGCGCCTTACGTGCAGCCAGAGCTCGGAGGAACGATCACGGTGCTCTCGGCTGCACGCAAGAATGACCCTGGGTAAGAGTGACCTTTGGTGCTCGGCTTTTTTGTGGCCGCGGAGGGACCAAACACAAGCGCGCAAGACGCTACTATCGCATCGCGTTCGGTGATCGGGGGACCCCAATGGGCCCTAACCAAAGGTCATTCCGGCGAAGGGTGAGTCTTACGTGTAGCCGATGCTCGTCCGCTTGGCCCGCGAAGGTCGGCCCAGCGAAGAGCCACTCTGTACGTCCTCTGACGCTCGCGCCTGCTGCCGGGGGCGCAGGCGCGGGGTCTTCTGGCCGCGCCCTCGTCGTCCTCTTCCTGCTCCTCCTATTCTATTCTATTCTCGTTGGGAGTGTCTGTCAATGCCAGACACCCCTAACAACAAAAACAGAGCTAGTCCGAATCCTCTCCCCTCTGGGGGGGCTCCTGACCAGCTGGCGGCAGCAAGCCGAACTTGGAGTAGAGCTCGGGAATCGTCCAAGCTTCACCCCACGTGGAATCAAAAACTTCACCGTCCTCAGCCTCTCTATCCTCCAGAACCTGGACTCCCCTCCTCGTGGCACGAACCAGCGCGAGGAGGTCAGACGGCAGCGGCGCCCTCTGGTCGCTGACCCGCCAACCTCTGTACTGCTTGGCCCAGCTGGGGAAGAGGCCTTTAAATGGACGGTTCCTCTGTTGCTTCAAATCTTTAGTGGGGGGCTGCGTGGGACAAGGTTTGCACAACGTGTCAACCCCGCCCCAAGCGTAGCCCCCACATCTGATGCAACTCATCACCCACCCACTCCCCGCCACCCGAGCTCCCGCCCCGTCCCAGACCTTATACATTCTAAGGTTGTGACCTTGCAAGAGCACGATAGCTTGGCTCTCAGACACAGCTTTGGCACTGGAATCACAAGCTTTCGTGTCCGAAAACAGGGGAGTTTTAAAACTCAACAGGGTCCTTCTAGCACCGAGACGATCAGCCGCCTGAAGCGACCTGCGCACAAGGGCACGCTGCCTCTTGGCCTTCGCGTGCCAGGATGGTTCAGGGGCCAGGCCGTCCTGCTCATCAGGGGGCTCAGGAAAACCAGACGAGTCCGACCACGAACGCTGGCTCATGAGGACGTCCTGGACCCCTCCCCACCGAATTATTTCCTCCTGGAGGCTCTGAAGGGCACCTACTTGCTCCTTGGCCTGCGAGACATCAGGGTGTTTGGACGCACCTAGCTTAGCAAACCTGTCTGCATGCCGATTCCCTTGCCTCTCGAAGACAGTGGATCGGCCCTCTAGGATATCATTCATCGTGGCGTGCCCCAACGTTTTGTGGGCCACGATTCCATCTTCAAAGACATGCCAGACACGATACCACATATGGGCCCTGGGATTACTCGAGCCTATCGATCCAAGCCGATCCCAGACGCACCCCAGGGTCCCCTCACAGTCCGTGTAGGTCTCAAAGTTGCCTGTAGCAATGTCAGCAAGCATTACATACGCGAAATCTTCCCCATCACGGGCCTGCTGGAACGGTGCCGCCTGTAATGGCACTGGCCCGTATGCAGCTGAGATGAGGTCACCATTAGCAGACACAGCGCAGATCGACCATCCAGCTCGACGAAACCTGGAAGAGGTGGGGTCGAGAGCCGATCCATCAGTGAAGAGGTGACCCGACAACATCCCACTAGCAGGCTTATTAAACCAAAACACTTGGCACTCACTGGTCGATAACGCTGGGGTCGTGAGCTCACGCGGATCTGGCATCAGCCCTGCAGCAAACTTCTCAAGATCTTGACCAAGCTCACATGCTAATCTGGCGGCGCGCTTGGTCTCGTCGCTGAGGTGCTCACGACGGTCAGCATCGAAGGCAGCGCACTCGAATCTCCTGTGGGATAGGGTTCCTGGGGCACCTAAGCAGAGACGACACACATTGTCTGGCGCAAGGTGTTGATCACATAATCTCTGTTGAGTCCAGGTGCCCATGGAGAAACAATTGCGAGCACACGCCTGATGGTGGTCATGCCGCGCCTCATTTTGGGCCCCGTTGATGACCTTCAAGGCCCCTTCCCAAAACACAGGACGGACCCAGGACTTATTGAGGCACGGTCGAAGCTTCAAGCCTTTCACATCTGCCCTGTGTCCTGCATCTCTTTCCGCCAGAGCTCTGACCGACAAAGGGGCAAGCTGGAGGAGGTCAACTTTCCCACCGTCCGCTTTCAACAAGATCCTCGCACTGACAGGCCGCCAACCTATTTCCGACAGCGTGAGCAGCAAGACGTGCGCAGGCGAAGTTGCACTCAGCCACGGCCTGCGCGTAGAAGACATTGCATCCACAGCAAGCTCGAACACATACTGCATCACATACAAGGGAGGTGTGCCATCCCATATTGCGCGCGCCCATTGATGTATTACATTAGCATGATACAGGACGTACGGGTCCATGGCTCTGCCCCTATCATGTGTGCGCAGCTTGTATGATGTGATCGCTCCAGCTTTATGCTTGGATAAGCTCTTGCACGCTGATGCCCTTAGTGTGTGCACTTGGCTTGCAGTAAGACCCGCAACAGCTGTGCCCCAAAGAGCTCCCGCTTGAGGCCCCGCTCTGTATACATTACTGACCTCAGCACCAACCGCTTTCAGTTTCCAGAGCCGGCGAGCTTTTCGAGCTGCACCTCGGAGTCGCTTTAGTGAAGTCGCATTCCTACGAATCCTTCTGCATACGGCATCACAACCAAGAGACCTGACAGCTACTTTCGCCGTGTACTTAAGATGCTTCCAAGCTTTCTGGAGACCTTCTGACGCATCCTGAGCCGACGCCAAGAAGACCGTTTTCTTCCCCGAGACGACCAACTCCAAGTCATCAAACCCCTGTCTTAGTTGGATGCCCGCTGCTGAGAGATTCTCTACCACGAACTTGGCAGTGCCCAGCAGCTGCAGCGAAACGTCGTCGACGACGTTCCTAATGTACAGGGAGGGGAAGGTCTGCGCCAAGCAGCACAGCACGCGGTACAAGACTATCTTGGCGAATGACGTCGCCAAGCTGCAGCCAGCCAAAATGGTACCCGTCGTGCGAAAGACCCCAGACGTCGCTCCAGAGAAATCGATGGCCCCGGGCCCCGTGTACAGAGCAATAGCCGAAACCGTAAGGCCCAGATGACACCCACTCTCTTTGGCTTCATCAAACAGGATCCCAGGAGCAACTCTTTCATACAACTTTTCTAGGTCTTTGCACAACGTGGCCGACTCGAATCCTTTAGCACGTGCAAATTCAGCAAGCATTGCATGTTGCCATCCAGCACGGTCGCACTCCTTGTCCCTGGAGCCCCAAAAGAACGGAGTACGATGTTGAGCTTCCCAGGCCCTCATTTCACACTGCCGAACTCGGCCCCAGAACCTGAAAAGCGACAAGATGAGCGCCAAAGGCCTAAGGCCCTCCCCCTCTTGCTTGCCCTGAAAGACAATGATCGTGGGGTACTTATCTGGAATGTTGAACGGGTCCCTCTCCCAGGCCATCATCACATCTATGAGCCTAATGAGGAAATCCTGAGGCAGCAGGGCCCAAGACCTAGGGTTGATGTCATCCGCTCCGAGGCCCGTTTCGTGCTTGAAGCGGTGCAGGGCCCACAGCACAACTTGCAGATCGGGTCTTCCAAGAGGTTCCGACTGTTTAGCTAACTCCAGTTGCCTTTCGGAAAGCCCCGACCTATGACTCTGCCAGTACCCGTTCCATTCACTCTCGAGCGCCTGGATCGCCATGTCCCCCTGGGGCTCAAAGCCTTGGTCCCCACGAGGTCCAACCACAGGCATCTTCATCTTGCTGTACCTGTGGGCCTCCTTGCCCCCCTTAGTCACTGACTCCTTGGCCCACGCTTTCCACTTAGCCCATCTCTTACGCGAGTGCTGGCTGAGCAGGTGATCGTGCGTTGATCTGGCCGTGGGCAGGAAAAAACCCAGCTCTCGGCCATCAGTGGCCGCGATAGCCTCGATCATGTCGCTGATCGAAGGCGCAATGACTAAAAACTGAGGCAGCAGCAGCTCTTCGTCTAGCCGAAAAAGGCCGGCCTTGACGCTCTCCCAGAGCGTGCCCTCGAAGTTGTTCGCAGCACAGTGTTCAGCTTTAGCAAGCAAGGCCACGAGCGAGCGCCACGCCCTAAGCTGGGGGGTAGAGTTGGAGAACCACTTCTTCCGCAAAAACAGCTCCAGAGGCAGGACCTTCCGCTGGAACCCTTGGGACCTCCCAAGATATACCTGTCTAGCTTCACCGTATATATCGCATATTCGACAAAGCTCAAACTCCGTATTGGTAAGCCACTGCTCCCAAGAGCCCAAGAAATCGATATCATCTCGTCCAGGATCCCAAGACCAAACTCTATGTTCAAGCTGTCTGATACACCCTATCGGCTTCTTTGTCGGGAAGCGCTTCCTCTTAAGCCTAACGTGGATCGGGATCGACATCGAGATTCCTTTCAGCCAAAGCTCGACCGGCGAGTGAGGACTGATGGGCGCGTCGTGGAGCACCCTGACACTCTCGACGCACTGGCTCAGGCCGTGCGACAGCAAGAAAACATCTAGATTGTTGCCAGCTCCTGCGCTGCACGTCGCTTCAGCTGAAGCCACCACCGACGCTCCAAGCTGGGAGCACCAAGCTTTCAGACCTTCCGAGTTCGGCTCCATGTTAGCGTCGCAGCCAATGACCCAGGGCACGGTGAGGGACTCCAGGAACCTTCCAAGCCCAGCTAAGAGGTCCGCATTCTCGCCCTTGACCCCGATCGAATGCCAGAAATAAACTGAGACCCAGACTATGCCCCCTTTCCTGCTCCTCCTCCTGCTCCTCCTTCTCCTGCTCCCTCCTCCTCCTCCTGCTCCTTCTCCTCCTCCCCCTCCTCCTCCTCCCTCCCTCCTCCATTTTTCCGTTAGGCGGACTGGAGCGACTGGGCTGTAGCGTTCGCCTCCTTCCCCTCCTCCCCCTCCTCCTCCCCCTCCTCCTCCTCCTCCTCCTCCTCCTCCTCCTCCTCCTCCTCCTCCTCCTCCGTCTGGCTCCCCGTGGCGCCTGGTGTTTGAAGGCGCGAGAGTCGTACTGACGCCGCCCTCCCCCTCAGGGCCGGTCGGCCCTGAGGGGTTGATCAGGCCAAAGCCAGGCGACTCCTGGAGCACCGCTCCAGGAGTCGCCAGCTTGTGGGGTCCGCCTCCCCATCCTCCTCCCTCCTCCTCCTCCTCCTCCTCCTCCATTTCTTCTTTCTCCTCATCCTCTTCTTTCTCCTCCTCCCTTCTTCTTCTCCTCCTCCCCTTCTCCTCCTCTTTCTCTCCTCCTCCTCCTTCTCCTCCTCCCTGCGCTTGCTGGGCTCCCCTCCCTGCGTGCAGACGATCGTGCCTGCAGCCGGGGGGGCGCGGCGCGGGGTCTCCCGCTCGCGCCCTCGTCGCCCCCGAGCCGCTGCTCCGGCGCGTCGGCCTCGCTCGTGGCGTCGCCGTCGTCGGTGCGCAGCAGGGACCTGCTTGGCAGCGCGAACCAGAGAGGCGGCGTTTGTTGTTGTTGTTGCTGCTGTTGTCGTTGTTGTTGATGTTGTTGTTGCTGTTGTTGTTGTTGTTGTTGTTGTAGTTGTTGTTATCGTATTGCGCGTGTTGCACGTGAGTGTGTGTGTAAGTGTGTGTGTGTGTGTGTGAAGGTGTTTCGATCTGTTTCTGTTGCTATACATGTGCATCTATTGCACCTGTGCTTTTGCTAGTGCATCCGTGTTGTTACTTGTGTTTTGCGCTTCCAGTTTGTATTGTGTTGGTTGTTTGGTCTGTGTTGTTTTGTTTGATGGTTTTATGCGTGCATATTCTTGCGCTTATGCATACATATATACACATCTATGGGTTTTTAAGTTTTTTGTTTGACTCGGGTTGATGTGCGCGTCTCAGGTCTACGACACCACAGCTGTGCATGTATTTACGTTTGCATGAATGTAGGCTATGTGTATGTGTATATGTGTATACATGCATGTATGCATGTATGCATGCTTGCATGTATGTATGCATGTATGCACCTATGTATGTATGCATGCATGTATGTATGTATGTATGTATGTATGTGTATGTACGTATATATGTATGCCGGCATGCATGCATGCACGCATGTAGGTGTGCATGTACGAATATATGTATGCGCGTACGCATATCTTTTCACGTATGCATGTGCCTAGCTGTATATGCATGTGTATATGCATGCATGTATGTATGTATGCATGCATGTATGCATGTATGCATGTAAACTATGGATGTACCGATGTCTACAGTTATACGTACATAGTAATGCATGGCTGTATGTGTGTGTGCATGTACATTCACATGTACCTGGCCAACTACATCGACGTGTACATGTACTGAAATGCATGCACAGACACGTGCACATATGTATATACACATGTATACATGTGTATATATATGTTTATTTATATATATATACACATATATATAGATATGTATGTATGTATATATATATGTATGTATATATATATATATATAGACACCGTGCCGCGAGGCGCGAAGTGGAGTTTTCTCCAGGTCCTCATGTGTCCTCTGTTCTCTGTACTCAGGGCTCTGGGATTGTAGTATTCTTAAGGGCTGGGACCCCCACCTCTCGCATTTCCTGGGCGTCCCCGCGCGTTCCTGGGCTGCCCCGCATGGTTTTTCCAGAGGCCAGAGGGCCTCAAGACGGGCCAAGAGGGCCCCAGAAGGCGCCCAAAAAGGTCCAGTATGCATCCAAAACAGCCCACGAGCGCTCCAAGACACCCACGGTGGCCCTAAGACGGCCCCTAAGAAGACCCAAGAGCGCTCCAAGAGGATCTTCAATAAGGCCCAAAGAAACACTCATCATGGATTTTCAGTGTTTTTCTATGTTTATCGCGTTCTCGCGTTTTCGGGCTTCCGACGCTCCAAAATTGGACGGTGCCCCCAGGGCCGCCAAGGGGTGTGCTGTGCGAGGGCCTATCCCCCCCTTGACGAAGGACTCTTCTCCAATCGGCTTGCGGAGATCAAGCCAGATAGCTTTAGCGAAGCAACTCCAGACAAAATTTGTAAATCCACACGCGTCGAGGTAGATGCAAAGACGTATCCAGGTAAATCAAGACAAGTCGACGGAATTCCAGCGCGAGTCGAAGGACGGCAAGAATCGTTAAGCCCGTATCGAATTGCCCACCGTCGCGCCCGCGCAATAGCTCGTGACCGCCTTCGACAGTTCGTTGCCCGTACAATGACTGCTGCCCGTACCATGGTTCGTGCCTCCCCGCAGTCGCTGCGCACCGTTGCTCGCAATAACATGCGATGAAAGAACGACTGCGCCTACCTCCGCCGACCCATCTGCACCAACCCCCCTTGTCCAACTTAGACAATCTCCCCATCGACCCCCGACGTCGTGATTTTTTTCACAACGTCGACCCTCAGAGGTCTGGGCCCGTTCCCCGGGGCCGGTTTTTCATCCTGAGTTGTTTTTCCCAACCATCCTGTGGTGTTGGGTCCTCGTTTGAGCAGATAGCGCCCCGCGTTTTCCTCCTTCTTTACTCCGCCCCCTCCTCCCTCCTCCCTGCGTTTCCTCCACCCAATACAACGTCTCGTGGCCCCATACGGAGCTCCACCGAAGGTCCCAATGGCGGAACTCGCATGCGGTTCCTGCGCCCAGTGCAGCGTTTCGTGGCCCGATCGGGAGCTCCACCGAAAGTCCCAGCGGCGGAACTCGCATGCGGTTCCTGAACCCAGTGCGGTGCTTCGTGGCCCCATCGGGAAATCCACCGAAGGTCCCAGTGGCGGATCTCGCATGCGGTTCTTGAACCCAGTGCAACGTTTTGTGGTCCCATAGGAACTCCATCGAAGGTCCAATTTGCGGAAGTCGCATGCGGTTCCTGCGCCCAGTGCGACGTCTCGTGGCCCCATAGGGAGCTCCACCAAAGGTCCCAGTGGCGGAACTCGCACGGTTCGTGCGCCCAGTGCAGCGTTTCGTGGCCCCATAGGGATCTCTACCGAAGGTCCCAGTGGCGGGACTCGCATGCGGTTCCTTCGCCCAATGTTGCGTTTCGTGGCCCCTTAGGGAGCTCCACCGAAGGTCCCAGTGACAGAACTCGCACGCGGTTCCTGCGCCCAGTGCAGCGGTTCGTGGCCCCGTAGGCAACTCCACCGAAAGTCCCAGTGGCGGAACTCGCATGTGTTTCCTGCAGTACATCGTTTCGTGGCCCCGTAAGGAGTTCCACCGAAGGTCCCACATGGCGAACTCGCATGCGGTTCTTTCGCCCAGTGCAGCGTTTCGTGGCCCCGTCGGGAAATCCACGAAGATCCCAGTGGCGGAACTCGCATGTGGTTCTTGCGCCCAGTGCAGCGTTTCGTGGCCCCATAGGGAGAACCATCGAAGGTCCCACTGGCGGAAATCGCATGCGTTTCTTGCGCCCACTGCAGCGTTTTGTGGCCCCGTAGGGAGCTCCACCGAAGGGCTCCCAATGGCGGAACTCGCACGCGGTTCCTGTGCCCAGTGCAGCGATTCGTGGCCCCATAGGGAGCACGCCTTTCGCGCGCTTCGTGGCCCGATAGCCTGTGCGCGAGCGGTCCGCAACCAGACCTCTCGGTCCTAGACTTTCGCCCTGGGCCGTCGGCTGTCCGGCGCGCCGCTCCATCGGATGACGCCGCCCAGGCGTGATCCTGGACTGCGGCCGCCAAGAGGCCGGAAACGGCAAAAAGGAGGACGACGACAGGTGGCTGGAGCTCTGCGCGCTGCTCTCGCGTGCCTCGCGCCACGAGGACCTCCTGCTCATGCGGGCGCCGTGGATCGAGTTCTTCGTGGCAGGGCCGCCAGAAGGGGGGTTGCGGAAACACCTGGAGCAGTTAGCGGCGCGCACGAAGCGGTGCTGGATGGAGGCGACGGCCCTCGCCAAGGAGCTGGGCTTCACGGAGTTGATCCGCGAGGCCTGACCAGGGGAGCGGCCCACCCGAGCCTCGCCATCTCTAGACAATATGACTGTCTGGCCCCGCGCCGCGGACGACCCGCGCGCGTCGCTGGGGCCCTCTCGGAGTGACCAGGGCGCGTCGCGGGAACTCCATGTCGCGCTCTGCCCAGCGCCTCGCTCGCCTGTCGTCGCGCTGCCCAGCAGCCAGAGCTTTGCCCGCAATCGGCCAGCAAACTACCTCTCTCTGCTGCAGCGGACGACCTGCGCGCGTCGGGGCGACCGGCGCGCGTCGCGGGGACTCCGCGCTGCGCTGCGCCCGCAGCCTTGGGCTTTAGAGTGCGCGGGCACAGGGAGAGAGAGAGAGAGAGAGAGAGAGAGAGAAAGAGAGAAACAAAAAGAAGGGAAGGACAATCTTGGATGGTATAGTTTTTTCGCTGCCCCACATCAAACAGATCACGGGCAGAGGGAGTCACGCCGAAGGCGTTAATTATAGGGAGCTCCACCGAAGGCCCCAGTGGCAGCGCCCGCGTGCCGCCGCCATTCCACTTTGGCACGCCCCTCACGCGGTTCGTGCCCCCATAAGGAGCTCCACCGAAGCCGATATTCACGGACCCGGTACTCACAACTGCGTATCGTTGGGTCTCTCGCCAGGCTGATTTGACGGTCCTGGGGCCCGCTGAGTGCTCCAGGAGGCCGAAAATAGGGAAACACCTCCCGTCGTGATTTTTCCACAGCGCGAGGGGGTCGGGGATCGCTCCCTCGACCCCCCGCCGTCGGCGCCACCCCCCTCGGCGCGTGCCAGCGGCCTGCAGTCCGCCCGGGTCAGCCGGGTCGCCCGGGACGTCGGCTTCCCCTGCGGGGCGCACTGCGGGCTCGTTCCTCGGTCTGGCCTCCTCGTCGTCCTCCTCCTCCTCTTCCTCCTCTTCGTCCCTCCGCCTCCTTTTCCTCCTCCTCGATCTCGCTCTCCTTCTCCTTCTCGTTCTCTTCCGCCTCCTCGTTCTCCCTCCCCCCACTCCCCCCTCTCATTCCTCCTGCTGCTGCTGCTCCTCCTCCGCCCTCCTCCTCACCCACGTCCCTCCTCCTCCTCCTCCACCTCCTCTGGATTTTCTCCAACAGAAGAATCATACTACTGAACAGGCAACGATCCATACGAATACGAATATCCTCTTTCCCTTGGCCAAGGTGCAGCGGTGCTCCTACCTCTCCCGCGTAATGATTTCCACGCGCAGGATTTTAGCACGTCATGTGTTGGTGCTCCTGCTGAAGCATTGGACACACATGCAGGGTGTTCAAGCATTCTGGAATGTATGTATATACTTACACACATACAACCACACCTGCGTAAACATGTACACACACATGTACACATACACATATACACGTACCATGCGCACATGCAAACGCACGTACACACATAGACATGCATCTGTATGCATGTATGCATGCATGTATGTGTGGATGCATGTATGTATATACACACATATACAATTGTACGTACGTATGTGTGCATGTATGTACGTATGCACATGTGTACAGCTGTACGTCTGTATCTACACATGTGTGCATCTACGCGTGTGTATACGTATGTATGCATGTATACATGCAGGTATACATGTATGTATGTATGTATGTATGTATGCATGCATGCATGCATGCATGCATGCATGTATGCATGCATGCATGTATGTATGTATGTATGTATGTATGTATGTATGTATGTATGTATGCATGTATGTATGTATGTATGTATGTATGTATGTATGCATATTTATGTATGTAGGTCGGTATGTAGGTAGGTAGACGTAGTTGTATACATTTATATATATGTATATATATATATATATATATATAGAGAGAGAGAGAGAGAGAGAGAGGCTAGAACCACGCCCGCGCTTCGCGCGCGCAAATGTTCTAGCGACGCCCAAGCCAACCTCCACATCGGATGAGGATGGACATCATCCCGCAAGGGTCACCATATGGGAGCGTACTTCCTGATGGACGCTTCAGGAGTCGCTGAATAAGGCTCCAGGAAATCGCGCAAGGCAGCCACGAGGAGGACTCAGGGCAGCCTGAGGGGGAATGCCTGAGAGCCCTTATTAACCTGGCAAAACCATGATGGGAATCTCTTTGGATGCCTTTGGGGGACGTTCTTGGGGTTTCTGTGGGGTGGGGCCTCTTCGTTTTTTGTTGGGGGTCTCATTGTGGCCTCTTGGGACTTTTTGGAGGCGCCTCAGGGGCCTCCCCAGGGCTCTTGGCATCTGGGCTCGAACTGTCGGTCTGAAACCCCGCTCTTGCCCCTGTCTTGAGGACGTCTTGAGGGCCTCTTGGGCCGTCTTGGCGGGTTCTTGGGGCGTCTTGGCGCTCTCTTGCGCCGTATTCGGGCCGTCGCGGGGACCTCTTGGGCTGTCTTGGTGCTGTCTTGGGGACCTCCTGGGCCGTCTGGGAGTGTCGGAAAGCCGAGACAGCATGAGGGAGGTGGAGAGAGGAAGACCTAACGGAGAGACGAGGAAAAGGGAGAAGGGAAAATTAGCTAGCAGGAAGGAGGGGAGAGGAGAGAAAGGATATGGATGTGGAACAAAAGACGGAGGAACACGAACAACAAAAAAACAACGATATCAAGGAGAACGGACGGCGAGGGATGGGGAACACGGAAACACACTCGGAGGGCGCGCCAACGCCTGGGACAGGAGGAAACGGAGGGGGGAGTAGATCTTGAACAACGACTGAAAGACTTCCCTCTCTTGGTCAAGCTGGGCTTCCTGCCGCACAGTGGAGCAGGATGCTGGGCGAGGGAGGCGGAGGGGAGGGAGGAGCGAAAGAGAGATGGGGATGAGGAGTGGAGGAGGCGGACTTGCATAAGGGAGGGAAGAGAGAGGAGGAAGGCGTGAAGGAGAACTGAGGGGGAGGGAGGAGGGAAAACGACGCAGCGGGGAGGAGGGAGGAGGAGAGGAAGGATAATGATGCGAAACGGGAGGCGCAGGAGAACCGGAGAACGGAGAACCAAGAGCAGGGGAGAGAGAGCGACGAGGAAGGATAACGAGGGATGGGGGACACGGAAACGCAGTTTGTGGCCAAAGCCTGGGGCAGGAGGGAAGGGAGGATGGGGGGTCAACCTTGAAAAAAAAGGACTTGAGGGAATTCCTTTTTTTCAAGCTGGCTCTGGAGGCCCCCAAGAGCACTCATGATCGCCCCAAGAGACCTCCAAGAGTTCCCTAAAAGCTCCGGGGATTCCCTCGGGAACCCCCAAAAAATTGAAACACCGACCTGGGACAGGATTGAATGGAGGAGGGGGGTCGAAGTTGTAAAACAAAGGATTTGAAATAATTTCTTTTTCTCAAGTTGGTTCTGGAGGCCCCCAAGAGCACCCATGATCGCCGCAAGAGAACTCTTCGAGAGTTCCCTAAAAGCTCCGGGGAAGCCCTCGAGAGCCCCAAATTATTGAAACACCTACCTGGGACAGGAGGGAACGGAGGGGTGGGGGTCGAAGTTGAAAAACAAGGGATTTGAGTGAGTTCCTTATTTTTTCAAGTTGGCTGTGGAGGCTCCCAAAGCACCCATGATTGCCACAAGAGACTTCCAACAGTTCCCCAAGAGCTCTGGGGAAGCCCTCGGGAGCCCCACATTACTGAAACACATATACATGGGACAGGAGGAAGCGGAGGGGTGGGGGTGGGGTTGACCTTGAAGAAAAACATTCTTTTGGAATAATGAAGAATACATGAAAAGTTGGCTCTGCAGGCGCCCAACAGCACCCAAGATCGCCCCAAGAGGCCTCCAAGAGTCCTCCAGAGGCCAACATTACTGCAACAACTAAAGAACATTTGCGATCTTTGTGTTCTCGCATTGCCGCTTCAGATGCGCTTTCGAGGCTTGCGCGTGCCCCCAAGAGCCGCTCGGGACGCCTCTTGGGGGTATCTTGGAGCTGTCCTGGGGGCCTCTAGGGAGCTCTTGAGGGTCGGCGCTGGGTGCCTCTGGGGCGGCTCCTGGGAAGTCGGTGGGGCCTGCTCGGGGCGTCTTTGGAGCCTCGGTGGGGCTCCTACGGGAGTCATGAGACCCTCTTGTGGCCTTTTGGGGCCACTTCGCGCCGCTCGGGACGCCTCCTGAGGCCTCTTGGAGCTCTCTTGGGGGGGCATGCGCAAGCCTTGGAAGCGTGTCGTAGGCGGAAGTGCGAGAAAGCAGACAATCATTGATTTCCCATTGGCTTTTGTTTGATGGTTGTGGCCTCTCGAGGGCTTCCCTGGAGCTCTTGGGGGACTCTTGGAAGCTTCTTGAGGCGATCTTGAGTGCTCGTGGGGGCTTCCAGAGCCGTCGGGTGGCCGGCTTGGACAGCCTTGGAGCACTCGTGGGCTGCCTCGGGGGCGTCCTGGGCAATCTTCAGGCTCTACTGGGGCTCTCTTGGACGCCCGGGAGGGTGGTACCAGGGATTCACCAGAAATCCTAGCGGAGCGGGCGGAGCTCTGGGGGGCGTGTCGTACATACATACACACACTTATATATAAATATATACGTATACGTGTGTGTATGTGTATGTATATGCATACATACATATTTATATACAAAATGTATATGTGCATAGGTATTTGTACGGATACATGTTTATGTATGTGTAGGCGTATAGTCATATGTATAGGTATGTATATATGTACATGTTCTTGTCCACGTGCTTGCACATGTATATGTATAGATATAATCATATGTATATGTATGGATGCAGGTATGTATGTATGTATGTATGGCTGTATGCATGTATGTATGCATGAATGTATGTATGTATTTATGTGCGTATGTATATATGTGTGCATACGTTCATGCGTGTATGCAGGTATGTGTGTTTGTAAATCTGTATGTCTGTAGATAGCTGCGTGCCAGTGCATGTATGTATGCATGTCTGCATGTATGAACATATGCATATATGCATATATGCATGTATGTACGTATACATGTATGCATATATGACTACATGCATGTAACTATGAGAATATGGTTGTATCTGTAAATGTGCGTATCTGTAGACGTATGCATGTTGATATGTATGCGTATCGAAATACATGTGCGTGAATTTACGTATGCAGACCTATTATTATGCATGTACGCCTGTATATATATATATATATATGAATGTATGCATGCATGACTGTATGTATGTATGCATGTATGCGTGTATGTATGCACGCATGCATGTCCGTATGTGTGTACATGTGTACAGATGATTGTCGACCAGGAAGTTCTTGGCCCTTCTCAAATGATGCCTCTGCATCGGCGTTGGACACATTTCAGGATCGGTGCCTCGCTCTCGTCGTCCAGAATGGCGTTCTCGCCCCAACGCGGGCTACACTTCTGGGTCGGACTCCTCCGTCGTCTTTGACACCCCCCTCCTTTCCCGCCCCTCTGCCGTCCCCTCATCCTCCCGCTCCTCTTGCTCCTTCTACCGCTTCCTCGGCTACCTCCTCCGCCGCCGCCGCCGCCGCCTCCTCCTCCCTCTTCTCTCCCTCTTCCTCGACTGTACACCCCCCTGGCCGACTGCACAAGACACGATGGGTCACATTCTGCAACTCGCACTCGGGGATCAAGGTCTTCTTGAGCACCCCAGTCGGCGGATAAACACGGGATCAACAACATGGAATTGGACGGGCGGGAGGGATACAATGTCAGATGTGGTGCGAACGCCCCTATGTTGCCTTCCTCGTCTCCCGTCTCCCCTCCTCCTCTCCACCTCCTCCTCCTCCTCCTCCTCCTCTTCTTCCTCCTCCTCCTCCCTCCTCCTCCTCCTCCTCCTCCTCCTCCTCTTCCTCCTCCTCCTCCTCATCCTCTTCTCCCTTCTCGACAACTGCAGAATGCGAATGCATCTTGCACTAGCGTGTTCCCGCCTTTTTCACGTAATGCATGGACACGAAGGGTTGGTTTCTTCTTTCCGATGTTGCTGTTCGTTCGGAACGTTCTCGGTCCTTCGAGAACTGCGCTCCCGATGCAGCGCTGGGCACACACAGGTCAGGATCGGTGCTTCGCCCCCGTCGTTCAGATGGCATTCTCGCCTCAGCGCGGGCCACATTTCTGGATCCAATTCCTCCCTCGTCGTTGAGGTTCCCCCTTTTACCCTCCACGCATTACCTTGGTCCTCCTGCTCCTCCTGCTCCTGCTCCTGATGCTGCTGCTGCTCCTCCTCCCTCCCCGTCCTCCTCCTCCTCCTCCTCCTCCTCCTGCGTATCCTCCTGCCCATCCGCCTCCTCCTTCTGCACTTCCTCGGCCAATGCACACAGCCGCCCACGCCCCTCTCCGATTGTATCGAGATCATTTCGGGTATCGAGGTCTCCTAGGACACCCCGAGCGGCGGACAGGAAAGAATCCTGCGCCGTGGGAGGGGCTGGCTGGGAGGGACAGGATGTCAGGCAGGGTGCGATCGCACCTGGCAGGCCTCTCTCCCCTACCCCTTCCCCTCGTACGTCCACCCGATCGGAGGAGGAGGAGGAGGAGGAGGAGGAGGAGGAGGAGGAGAATGAGGAGGAGGAGGAGGAGGAGGAGGCTTAGGCCTGCCACACTCCTTTCTCTCCCGATCCTTTGTGCCGCGGCGCTGCCCCTCCGCCCCTCCTCGTGTATGAGGAGCCGAGCCCGTCCGTCCGGGCCCGGCGGGCCGACTCCCGTCCCTCGCCGTCCGCGGGCCCAGCGGGTCCGTTCCCGTGCGTCGCCGCCTCGCACCACACGGCTTGCGCCACGCAGCCTGCCGCGCACGGCTTCCACCACACAGCTCGCACCGCACAGCTTGCGCCACACAGCTCGCACCGCACAGCTTGCACCACATGGCTTGCACCACGCAGCCTGCCGCACACAGCTTCCACCACCCAGCTCGCGCCACACAGCCTGCGCTGCAGAGGATGCACCACGTCGATGGCATGCCATAGCGTGCAGCGCGTGGGTTGTATGAGCTTGTATGCTACAACACACTGTTTGGGACCCACTCTGGCTAGCGGCTAGCACACCCACGTACACATCTATAGTTGTGCGTGTAGGTGATTTACTTCTGCTGCAGCGTCGGTTACATTTCAGGATCGACGCTTCGCTTAGAATGGCGCTCTCGCCACAGCGCGGGCCATATTTCTGGATCGGATTCCTCTGCCGTCGTTTCCGCCCCCTCGTTTCCCCTCCTCCGCCTTCTCCTGGTGCTTCTGCTCCTTCTGCTCCTCCTAGCCGTCCTGCTCCTGCTCCTGCCTCTCCTCGTTCTCCCCGAATGTGCAAAGCCCCACCTCTCTGATTGCGCATCACACGTTAGTCTTCTAGGACAACCCAGTCGGCGTATAGAAACGAATTCACCGCAGTGGGCAGGGATGGGTAGGTTGTCAGATGTGGCACTCCTCCTCCTCCTCCTCCGCCTCCTCCTCCTCCTCCGCCTCCTCTTTCGCCATCCCTTTTCTTATGAGTAAGTCTTTCCTGTCGCACCACACAGACGTGTCGGTAGGGCGGGCCCGGCGTTTCGCCTGAGACTTCCTTACCATTTCCGGCCCTGAAGCATGACATGTGCAACAACTTCACGGATGGAAGGCGGGCCGATTTCAAAATGTGGCTCGCGTCTCAGCGCCGCGAACATCCGTCTAAACATGTTGCAGCAGTTTCACGGATGGAGGGCGTTTGTTCTTGTCTTCATTTTGTAGTTGTTTTGTTTTGTTACTGTTGCTGTTGTTGTTTGTTTGCTTGTTTTTCTCTCCCCAAACGTGGCTGACGCCCTAGCGTCGCCCAAACTCGTCTTAAACGTTTGCAGCAGCTTCAAGGATGGAGGGCTGTTCTGTTTCATGCTGTTGATCTCGCCTTAGCACCACGCGCATCCGCCTCCAAAGTTTGCAGCAGTTTCAAAGATGGAGGGCTGTTCTGCTTCAAAATATTTCTCTCGCATCAGCGCCGCGCACAGTCGTCTCACAGTTTGCAGAAATTGGAGGATGGAG